CTTACTCTTAGGATTTGAAACTAGCATAATCGTTACATCAGAGCAAGTAAAAAACTCGGTTTAAGAGCTGAACTGGTTCTTGGTTGCTTCTGAGTGTAACTGTAGATGGAAAGTACTTCTGTACATCCCCTCAGTGTTCCAACAAATCTTCTATATGCCTCTGGATTAAGCTTTCAAAAACATCAACCACATGGTTTGGTTAATATTTGCACAAAAAGCACAGTTGCTAAAGCAATTTTAATCTATCAAATTGTACTAGATACAAGTATTTATTAATTCAGTATTACCTTCAGAATAGCAAATTAATTGGCATACATTACCTAAGAAATAAAATGCATTCTAAATACCTATTTTTAATAACTTCTAACAGTTACAAAAATTGCAGTTCAGTGAATTCCCCTTGTTCTACTGGATTATTTTACACAAAAATCTAACTAAAATTCAGTACTTTGCTGATTATTGTTGTATTCAATGATTATCTTAACCTCTTTTAGCTCAAACTGAAATATAATATATATTATAGATGTAACTCATGCATAATCATATACTTGATAATGATTATTGGTAAGAAGAATGTCAGATCACAGAAATTTTTTTTGTAATGAGAAAACTATTCATTCTCATTTCTGGTGCACTTAAAAAAAGGGGTATCCATGAAAATCTAACACAGTTCCAATTAACTTTAGTGTCTTCTTTAAGGTTTTGCAAAATTAAACATATTAAGTTGCAAAATCAGTAAATTAGCATGGATCACTAAAACAATTTGCTAAATTCCTCAAATCCAAAAATCATTATTAACAGCTATTTTGCACTTCAACTAAATTAAAATTTGGACATTCAGAGTTGCTGGCAACTTCTGTGTTGGCAAGGCTACACAAGCTGAATGTAGATCGAAAACAAAACAAAACGAAAAAAAAAAAGCACCAAGAGCTGCTTAGGTATTAAACAGAGAAAAACATTTAGTCACATGGCTACATCCTGGCAAAATCCTTTGAGCTTTTTGTTGAAGCACAACACACATTTCTGACAAACAAAATAAAATCTAGTCCGTTAAACATTTGTGTGTCAGCCATGCTTAGCAAAACATCTTTGACTGCAGTTATGTTAGTGAAATTTAAATTGTGCCATGTATCATTTCAATTAAATAAAGCACTGGAGAATAGCTAAACCTTTTTTTTATTGTCTTTGCCATCTTGACTGTTTGTATGCTGGCTGTGCCAACAGCGAATAATGGGAGAGAAATTCCCTGTAAGGAAAAAACAAAAACTCAAACTCAAACCAAACTGAACAGTGTCCAGTTTCAATTTGCTGGCAGAAGGATGTGGGGAGAGAGAGCTCTAAGCAAGAGGTGACAGAGAATAATTCCTTAAAACCAGATAGACAATGGAATTCTCATATTTAATAGGAATTGAAGGCTTTGTTTGAAAACACCTCATTATTTAGACATTTCTGTATGGGTAAAGAATTTACCAGCTCCATTATTCACACTTATCTCTGACTTTCTATGTAGTGATGGTTATATTTCAAGCTCTTACTGCTGTTCTAATATTTCTTCATGTGTAATTGTACTTCAAGGTTACATACGTATGAGAATGCAAAAATTCCTATTAGTGATGAGAAAACTCCAAGACACAAAGAACGTCACAAGAGTAATCTCAGCAATAAAAAAAGTTAGCAAAAGAGAGTTATGTAAAAACCATTGTTATATAAAATGTTCCCTAAAACCAATTTTCCATTTTGTTAGAGCTGGGAAAAACCTGATGCTGTAAGAGGAAGTAAGACTCAAAAGCATCGTTTCCCCTCTGATTTTGTTTTGCTGTTTACACCCTTCCCCAAACTACTAAAGAGGGCATCTGATCAATTACCCCTGGGCTGTCGCTAGTTGTTCCGTGTTCCCCCTCCATGTCCCCCCAGTGCTCTGGTTTGGTTACACAAAAGGAAAGCCAGACAAGATCAGAAGAGATGCAAGCTTTGGAAACAGGTGCAAAAGTCAGTTATATATTTGAAAACACTTGGCATACACAGACAAGTATGTGAGATTACCCCTTTGATAGGATATACGCTGTGCTCTCAGCATATCTCTGGACTGAAGAAGTATTTCTTTGAAATGACAGCTCTTTCTATTTTTCTGAACTTCAAATGAACCAAAGAAGAGAATTCATATATTTCATATCAGTTCTTCTAAGTACGCACATAGGATGTAAAGATACCATAAAAGTTACAGTATAAATCAGTTGTCATCATCTAGCATCTTTAATATTGGCATTGGTTTTCCAAAACAGAATAAACTGCTTTAGAATGACAGGTGATCTTCACTTATAGTATGATTTACACGTACTTTGTCCATTCCTCTTTTCTCCCATTTTCACGCACTTTAGTTTTATTACCATTGGCCAGAAAGTGCACTCTAATAAAACTTAGCCAAGCTGTGTTTTATGTTCAGCCCAACTTTTAGCAAAGGCACTAGGAGCCCCTGTGGAGAGCCAATGGGGCAAAGAGGATGCCAGGTAAGAAACAGCAAATGAGGAGCCCCAAGATGCCAGACCATTTCTGCTGCTGCCACACCAGAGCAAAGGAAGCCCGTGGTGAGTTGGTACTGTTTATTTATTGATCTCTTTACAACAAACACCTCATTGTCACACCCACTACTGACTACACTGAATTAACATGAAAGGCTCTGCAGTATATATTGTATACTTACATCTAACAGCTAGATATGACATATACTCTTACATATAAAAAAAATCTTCACTCAGAAGGCAAAAAGACGAAATATAAATTTGTATTGACTTCATGGAAGTCAGTGAGTTTACATCATCTCAAGAGTTCAAAGGGAAGAGTTTGGAGTTCTGCCTGGGATCTTTTTGAGACTGAAATTCGTTCTGGATAATGTCAGACTAATGTAAATTCTGAGGAAGTCCACTGAATAAATATATATAGAAACCCAATACAAACTGGAACCTATTTCAGGATCTTCCCACACAACCTATAGAGACACAAATGAAAATATTAGCAGGTTTGCAACATAAATTAAGGAGGTTTTGGAAATATCCTTTATCATGTCATATCTAAATGTCACCTTTAGTTCACATAAATGTCACCTAATTAGTTCATATAAATGCTTTTCGAGAAATTTCATCAGCCTTAAAATTTTAGAAAGGTCAGAATTGATAAGCAGAAGCACACATATTCTCTGCCCACATTTACAATTATTCTGCAAAAATAGCAGACAGAGAATTTTGTCTTTGGTCTGTAATGTAAATAAGATAACCCTGAGACAATGTTTAAATAGATATGTGTTCTAGTCAGTCCTCAAAGGTGAGATACACATTATTGCAACTAAATTTTTGAAAATAAAAAGTACCAAATGATCTTATACTCCTTATACACTTTTCTGCTTACTCAGTATCCTTCTCATCAGAAAAGAGAAAAAATGTTGCCATAGCTTCTACATAGATTCTTCCTTTAAGTATTTTGACTTCTTTCTTTCCCAAATACATAGCATTTTTTTTCAAAATAAAGTAAAATTTAGACCATAGAAGCAAATGACTTGCTGAATTTCATCTGCTTTTTCAAGTTCTTTTACTTACATTTAATATATTTTAGCACTGCAGGATTTACCTTTTTGTATTTTAAATCTGTAGTCTGAAAACAAGCCCAGACTGTGGAGTTGTACCCCAATAATGCATCCTTAGCAAATGCTGATAAAGAGGCCACAAAACATGACGACAAATATTTCTAATCCTAAATATATTATATCAAAACTCCAATAAGAGGTTTTATAGTTTTAATCCTCTATATATCAAAACTTAGATAAGAGGTTTTGTTGTCTGCAAATAGATATAGATTCTTCAAGACTGATTACAATTTTTATTTCTCTTACAACCAGGCTTAGAACAATTGCTCCTACAATTGGTTTTCATAGTAAATAAATCTAAAATTTTAAAATAATGGCAGTGAATAAAGGGAATAACGAAACATTTAAGAATTTCAAATTGTCTCATAATTTTTTGTTTGTTTCTAGATATCAGCTCTCTGAAGGCCTAGAAATAAAGACCGAGAATCGTACAGATTTTTACAGCTTCAGAATATTTCCAAAGTGAAAGGCTTCATAATGAGACGTTCTTAATATTAACATGATTAATCCATCAATCAAAAAAAAAAATCCATAAGAGTCCTTTTGCTTTCCATACCAAAATCAATTCTGACAGTCATTCATCAAAGAGTAGATGGGTTGGACAGAGGAAAAAGCTAATTCTGCTTTCTGCTACATTAGCATAAAAAAAATATCAAGCATGATAAAAAAACCCAAAACACAACAAACCACAAATCATAGGTAAGGAAGTCTAGATTAATATTAACGTTTGTTTGGTTTGGATTTCCCCCCCCCTTTCTTTTTTATCTGCTTTGTTTTTTTAATCTCTATTTCATATGCTGATAACCACCTAGAAACACTGAATATGTGCTGCATTTGACTCTGGACTTATTTCAGGAGCAAATCTAATACTGCAGATGCATACTAACTGTTTTCTGCTTCATCGCTCAGTGGAGAGATTCAGTCAGAAGTGTAACATTTTGAAAAAGAGGTTACAATGCACGAAATATAGAGAATCTCCAAGTCTTTTACTTATTATTTTGGCTTCTAAACTGCGTTTTTCTTCCAGTTTAGTTTCACCACCTGTCTACTTTGCATGCATCAAGATGGTTTTGCAGCATCAACAAAACTGCAGATGAGATTTGCTCCAAAGGTGCACTACTGAACTTAACTAAAACTCTCAGTAGTCCAACAGCCACTGAAAGGACAACAGTTCATTTCTGTCAACCACCTTACTCTTACAATTATTCTTCTGTAGGAAAATGTAAACAAGATATCTGTATGCATAGTCCCAGTAGAATTTACTATAATAGACTGTGTTACATTTAATATTTGCTTTTGACTCTGTTGAACTGCGGTGTCAGTTATGTGACTATACGAATAATTTATATTTGTATAAATTCACCCACTGAAAGCTACTTGAGGAACAATGAGAAAAGACCAATATCCACTTCAACGGAAGACAGTTCGACTGAAACGAGATCTTTTTGGCAAGGCAGCACATTTACATTCCAAGTCTTCTTTACTTATTCCTAAAACTTGGAAGAAAAAAAATGAAGAAAATATTTTAAGCTAAAAAAGTAGAATCTCCATGTCTTTATTTTAGTGGTGTGCATTCTTTGACCAAAAACTGGTCATGCACCTAAGCAGGGACACCTTCCACTAGACCAGGTTGCTCAGAGCTCTGTTCGACCCAGCCTTGAGCACTTCCAGGAGTGGTGCATCCACAATTTCTCTGGGCAACCTGTTCCAGTGCCTCACCACCCTCACAGTAAAGAATTTCTTTCTGATACCTTATCTAAACCTGCCCACTTTCAGTTTAAAGCCATTCCTCATTACCCTGTCACTTCATGCCCTTGTAAAAAGTCTCTTTCCACATTTCTTGCAGGCCCCTTTTAGGTACTGGAAGGCTGCAATTAGGTCACCCCTATCTTCCAGGCTGAATAATCTCAATTGTCCCATATTTTCCTCATAGGAGAGGTGCTCCATCTCTCTAATCAACTTGGTGGCCCTCTTCTGGACTCACTCCAACAGGCCAATGTCCTTCCTTTGCTGGGGACCCTAGAGCTGGATGCAGCACTCCGGATAGAGGAGTAGTGGGGGAGAATCACCTCCTTTGACCTTCTGGTCACGCTGCTTTTGATGCAGCCCAGAATATTCTTGGCTCTCTGGGATGCAAGCGCATACTGCAGATGTATATCCAACAGCGCCACCAATTTTGGAAGTGGCAAGTTCTGCTGAATGTGCAAGATCAAATTGTCTCTAGAGTCCAAAGAAGGCAGTTGTAAAATCAGCCTGATGCCCCTTGCCAGATGCCAATGCTTAACATGTTCAATATGAGCAAATAGGTTGAATATGTTAAACATATGTTTAAAGAGTCTTAAACCTCTGTTCTTTTTTTTCTGTTCATGCACAAGCTTCTGTTCTGACAAGCTTAGCTGAACACTGAAGTGATATAATTGCTGTGATAGGCTAAAATGCAGTGAGCAGCCTTGGTTCAGGTCAGGAAGTCCAGGGAAAAGTGACCAAACTATATTAAAGTCAGCTCAGGCACGGGAGAGGCTTAGAAGCATAAAAGCTAAAGCATACTCTTCTGTAACTGATATATTGTCCACAATATTTTAGTTATCTATATGAAAAGCAAAATTTGAAGACAGACACCCTCTTTCTGTCCTCTCATCCTTTAACATGTTTTTCCAAAGGGTTAGGCCATTTGGGAGAATAATTTAGACGAATCATTAGAGAGACTAAAAGGAAAATAAGCTGATACCAATACTGGTATTTCTTGTTTTTGAGAGAAAATACATTCTTATAAAATTACTGCACATAGATAGGGAAAAGAAAATTTTAACTTCTGAATGTCAAGAATACATTTTTGTTGTTTTTCTTTTCTACTTTCATATGTCATTAATATAAATGGGGGGCAGCTACACATAAAGATGGCCAATTGCTACATGCAATCAAACCAGCTACATGAAAAATGTGATTTCTCATATAGAAAGATGATTCTAATACAATACTGAACTTTCTACCTCCATATAATTTTCTTATGTGAGGCATAAGAGGAGCTGAGTGTGACTGATTAGCAAATGAGATAGGTCAAAAAGCCCAGCCTATTCTTTAAGCTGAGAAAAGGAAGAGACATAAGTCCTTGCTTTTGTTTTACAAGCATCTGAACAGGAATACAAGACCCATATTTTTAACTGTTCTTTCACTTTCTTTTCAATAATCTCCTGACACAAAGTCACTTCTTAACATAAAGACATATTATATCATTATAATATAAAGATTATAAATTATATAAATAGAACATTGCAAATTGTATTTATTAAAAGAAGTATAAAGCTATAATATATAATATTATAAAAACATAAACCTTATATTTATATATAAAGTAAAACTAATACCTAGACAAATGGAGCAGAATATTGAAGAAATATTGGAAAAAGTTGCATGTTTATATGGCAAATTCTTGCAGTTTTCACTGGTTGCTAAAAAAAATTCAGACAAATGTATGGGAGGTTTTTTGCGTTTGTTTGTTTTAATATTTACATGGATACAAGTAATGGTTTGCTATTACTGAGTAATTATTGTAATGTTATAAGAAAAACTGAGGGTAAATTTTGCATGCAACTATTACTAGTTATTTACTACATATCTAAATATATTTTCTATAGAATATGTAAACGAATGCATGGATCTAAATATAAATGCTAATATAATTTTACAATTTAAGTAAAAGTTCTACATGAATTCAGCATAAACCAAACAACAATAACAAAAAAACCCCAACCAAAAATCACTTAAAAAGTTTTCTACAGAAAAGGACATGGAAGTGCACATGAAAAAAGGAAGCATTCATAGCAGGACCAAACATAAGAAAAACCGAGGCAACCCCTCTGCAGTGCAGAGTAGTATTTCTGCAAATGAGAAAATGTTGCACTACGCCACAGGTCACATGAGCTGATGAAAGTCAAAGGCTCTGTGATGACACACACTACAAGCAGCAGATGAAGCTTCAAAAGCACTGTAAAATGTCTAGATAAGAGCAGTTGTTCTGGTAAGCAATCCCCTGCTTGTCCTTTGCCCTGGCATAAATAACTGTGCAATCTAACAGTACAATCTGCTCTTTCATCTGCTCTAACCATCTGTCCCACTCTTGCATCACTATGATAGGCACCTCAGCAATAATGAGTGAGATAGGGGAATTTTATCAGACAGAGGTGGAGAATAATATGAACAGCAAAACAGAATTTTTAAAGGAATCTAATGAAAGGTCAGAGAAAAAAAACAACTCTGCAGGTTCTTTTGATTTTGTTCTTTTCTCTAAAGAAACATACAAAACCAAAATCACCAAAACAATTCACGTGAATTAAGCCACAGTGTGATAAAAGTGAATATCCCGAAATAACAAATCTCAAGAATTTTCCAGGATAGTTAGGTTTGAAATACTTCTCTTTATAAATAAGTCATCATTCTCTTCACCTACTTTCACACAGCTCATAATCACTTAATTGCATTTTTCTTTGCTTCTTTTCCAGTATATCCTTAATTTTCAGTATTTATGCTGATTATACGTACTACTCCACAGTTAGAAGATCCATTACTGAAAACAACTCCAACATATTTTAAAGTAAATGTTTATGTTGACACAAGGAAAGCCTTTTTCTAATCCATTATAACTTTGTATTTAATAGAATTCACTGTTCTTTTAGTGAACAGACATTGATTTGCCAGATAAAAACAATCAAAATAGTCTATTTTTAATAAAAATATAAGGTGAGTAGTACAGAAAAAAATTTTCTTCCAGGGAAAAATCACCAAACAATATTAGTCACTATGTTGAGAAGCAAAGGCTTTCAAAATGCATCAGTGAAGTAATTTTCAGATACTAAAATTATAAGGCAAATTACTCACTACATCTTATTAGTAAAACTCATGGAAAAATACTCAATAAGTTTATAAGCACATCAGATGATGTTTTAACAAAGTGAAAAAGCTCTCAAGTCCTAAGTTTGTGGGGATACCACTGTACAGAGCAATTTAAATACATAAAAGAAGGTGGTAGCCCCTCCCTGAACAAATTAAATGAAATTTAAGTATCAAGCCTCTTTCCAACCGATCAACTTCAAACTTTTAGTCAAAACACCCTATAAACTTCAAATGGAAGTTGCCACATTGTTACTTATAGCTAATAAGTACAGGGAAATTTCATTTCAGTTGGAGACAAATACAAATTCGTCCATAATTCCTTGAATATCAAATACAGTACTTATGCTTTATTCACAAATTACCACTGTAGATCTCAATTTCATTAATTCAAATTGCACTGGTAATAGATACAATATCCTTGCAGGGTGAGAACATGGGCAAAGAACATGGGCAAAGATGTAGCCAAGGAGATGAGTAAAGGGTAGGTTTTCTTAAAAACTTTATAGACCTTTGTTTATGCCATATTTCTGATGGCATAAACAAATTCTACTTCCAGTTGATTTTCATTTGTGCTACACTGCGCCACTACTGCTGCTATGTTTCTTTTTCTCATGGACTCTTCCACCTCTTGCTTCTTCTCCTGTGTGCTGCTCTCTTTGCCTTTTCCCTGCCTTCTGGGCATTATTTTTTGTTTTATTATCTTACCACCCTTCCTCCAAGCTCATTAAAGCCTAGAGACAAAGCAGACAGCTACTTCAGAGGCCACGTGAAAAACAGACGAAAAAATAATCTTTCTTCTCTAGCTTCTGTTGACACAAGGTTTACCGAAGGATACAGGTCTTCAAAACCCCTGCGACAAGTCACTCACAGGACAGCAAGAATAAAGCCAGCCAATGGCCGTAAGTGGTATGTACCCACATACATACATATGGACTACAGCAAGATATAAGATGGGGTGGCAGTCACTAGATTAATTTGCTGCGCTACATTGAAGTTAGGGACACAAAAGACATTGCTGCTTTGACCGTGCAGCAATTGCTCTTGTGCTTGAAAATCAGTTCTGCCTCTACAGGTTTTGCCATGTTTCCTCATCGCTTGGCACATACAAATTACTGCTAAGAAGCATCTTCTGGGTCATGAAGGGCCAAAATCCTTGAAGCTCACAGCAAACCCACAGTACTGTATTTGACTTTTCTAAGCTGCAAAATACACAAATGCTGGCAATTATCCATCTATTTTCTCCCTGTATTTCCCTCTGGCCATTCGCTAAGTGGACAGATGGATGCTGTTCAATAGCTCACTTACCGTCTGTCATTACACCCATAGAATAGATTATGGGTACACAGTACTAATGAGACCCTCGGAAGAAAATATTAAATGTCAGTCACCCTTGGAAACACATAGCAAATTAAAACTAATTTCATGTGTACACCACAGAATTACAAATTGATTTTGACATGACCAGAGTAAGATAAAAAGCCTGTAACAGAAAGCAGGAGGATCTGGACTTTATAATTAAATAAAACACAGATGTACGTTAGAAAAAATAACCCAACTTGGTGACTCAGCTACATCTCATGGGTACTATTACGGTGAATGAAGGCAG